GCAGAAAAAAGAGAAGGTGCATAAACTTTATCTAACCTCATCTCTAGGGTATACCGTCAGAATTAAGTGAAAGGGCATAAACTTTATCTAATCTCATCACTAGGGTTTACCGGCAGAAAAAAGAGAAGGTGCATAAACTTTATCTAACCTCATCTCTAGGGTATACCGTCAGAAAGAAGAGAAGGGCATAAACTTTATCTAATCTCATCACTAGGGTTTACCGGCAGAAAAAAGAGAAGGGGCATAAACTTTATCTAACCTCATCTCTAGGGTATACCGTCAGAATTAGGGGTGTGACCCTAAAAGTAATTTCTCTAATAGAACAAAATAATCATAAAAAGTAACACAGAACATATTTTTATAAACCTTAATACAAAACAGGGTTTTTTTTTTAATAGTTAACAGTCACAACTTTGTTAACTTGCTTTTTCATACAACTAGTCATTACTTGTATTTCAAGACGTATCGTTACTATAGCAGAATCTTAGTTCATTTAACGTGATACAGATAATGAGATTGGTCTTTTACGACTTTTCTGAATCGAAACGAACAAAATGCCCAAACAAAAAAATCAAAGAAATGTCTTTTGTAACAACGAAAAGTGGAGTTGCAATTTTGTCTTTTGGAAGGTACTTTATAATGCAACGTTGTTCGTTGATCTTCAGGATGGCTTATTCTTTAGTTTGTTTAAGTTTCGGATATTCGCACAAAGCTACACAAAGACTATCTGCCCAACCACCCAACAGCACACATCATCAAATCTTTAGCCACTTTAATCGAATGTTGGGATTTGACTGCCACTCTTATAACGCACCTAAAACCCCGAATTGCGGAGCACGGTTTTGCAGAACGAAACGCTAACCATGGACAATCGTACTGAAGCTAACCACTAAGCCACGCCCCTTACTCTTTAAAAATTCTAGTTTCTATTAAATTAGTAGTGAGCATTTCATGACTTAATCTACAAACCATATAGTAATAAACACTAAAGATAAACTAGTAGTGAACATTTCATGAATTGTATCTACAAACCATATAGTAATAAACACTAAAGATAAATTAGTAGTGAGCATTTCATGACTTACATCTACAAACCATATAGTAATAAACACTAAAGTTAAGTTAGTAGTGAGCATTTCATGACTTGCATCTACAAACCATATAGTAATAAACACTAAAGATAAATTAGTAGTGAGCATTTCATGAATTGCATCTACAAACCATATAGTAATAAACACTAAAGTTAAATTAGTAGTGAGCATTTCGCAAGTCATGAAATGCTCACTACTAATTTATCTTTAGTGTTTATTACTATATGGTTTGTAGATGCAAGTCATCTTTAGTGTTTATTGCTATATGGTTTGTAGATAAAACTTGCGCTTTATTCTTGATGATTTTTAGTGTCACGTTCCTTAGAACATAAAATATTGTTATAAAATTATACAAAAGAATATTCCATTCTCTAGAACAAAATATGTTACATCTCGTTAACCACTAAAAAAAGGACAATTTTCCTCGTTTTTCGAGGATCAAATCGAATAGAATTTACTTTAACCAGATGTTTTATTTTTTTTACTACAACAGTTCAAAATGAACTCCATTTTAACTCCATCAGTGGATTTATGAAGAACATGGCTTCCATGATTGAAAGTCTACAAACAGTCTGTTTGTTTTGACTCAAAGCTACTCAATAGGCTATCTACGTTTTGGTCCCCACGAGGAATCTAACCCCGGATTTTAGCGTTGTGAGTTCGTAAACGTGCCGCTGACCCACTGGGGAATGTCTACGAATGAATCTCCGTTTATTCCACACATCAAATTACATAAAGTGAGTAACTTGTTCTTGTAATCAAAATATGCAAAATACATCATTCAACGAAATGACAATTGTGCATTCGAATAAATCAATTTAAAGAAAACTACACAAGAAAAATGGGTTTTGATCAAATATTTATCTGGAAATTTAAATATTTAAAAGGAATAAATTAATATGTGTAGAGATGAGATTCATAGTAGCTAAGTGAATTGATAGGTTTGTTTGTTTGTTATGAATTTCTCGCAAAGCTATACTAGGGCTATCTGCGCTAGTCATCCATATTTTAGCAATGAAAGACTAGAGGGAAGGCAACTAATCATCACCACCCATCGCCAACTCTTGGACTACTCTTTTACCAACAAATAATGCGATTGACCGTCACATCATAACGTCCTCACGGCTGAATGGGCGAGCATGTTTGGTGGAACCGGGATTCGAACCTGCGACCCGCAGATTGCGAGCCAAGCGCCCTAACCACCTGGTCATGCCGGACTCAGAGAATTGAGATAGTGAGCAATAATTTTCCAATTCAAATTCATACAACATTATTAGTCGGAAAGTCGCGATATGTTCGATAATTAATTTGAACTGAAAATGTCAGGTTTTAATTAACAACGATGTATTTAAGACAAAATTTCCTTTTTGTAGGGGGGGGTGGTAAGCGTGGATTATTAACTTTATTAACAATATTCATAAAACCATTCAGTTCAAATTTGTTTTTGTTTTGTTTTTCTAGTTTTAGTGTTTTTTTGTTGTTGTATTTTTTAAAGAGTAAACTATAAATATTAATGACGACTTACTATCTTGTGGTTCAAATGGGCCAGTTCTCTCTCAGTTATCTCTCTTCTGTTCTGTTCTTGAAGTTGCCGCTTAAATTCGTTGATTTTATAGACCAGATACATTCCCGGGAAAGTAAAGACCACTATAGGTTTCTTGAAGGCAAAGTTCAGCCTTTGTGGCATAATGGTAAACGTATTCGACCTGTAAAGGTTACAACTGCTTCCAGGAAATAACCTCTAATGGAAGTCAGCTTCCATGGTCACTCAACGGCGTGCTTAAAATACCACTGCTGATGAGATGAGACACGAGGTAAGAGACAGACCTAAAACCACGCGCCACGAGCTTGATGCAGCAGTGCGCTGAACGCGACCTGTCTTGCGTGCAACATTAGTTTTAAAGCTAATGACGTCACTGCCTAACTGACGTATCACATTCAAGAAGCCAAGAATGTCGAAACAAAATCTGGACTCCCTCACTGATCTAGCTGCTGAAAATCGATAAATTTGTTCCTAAAGTAGCTAAATCGTGATGGCACAGCCAAAACGACGGCACCTAAATAACGACAGATTTGATATGCCCAGTGTCAGCAGCTGGGATTAAAGGACGCTGATATTTTGATCCTCCCGGGTTTTCACTGTCGCTTAGTTCTAAATTGATACAACTTCTGATACATAAAATCGCCAATCACGAAAAAATGAAGACATGGCAAAAATTAGTCTCAAAAAAATGTCAATCTCTCCTTATTTCAGCGATTAAAACTTTTTCTATGAACTTCATACTTCGGATCTAAAACACGCAGTAAATTGTTTAGTTTATGTGGTACAGATAAAGATTGCTAAGATAATTCTTGTTTTACCTGATTATCTAAAACTACGATTGGTTCTCAGCTTATTGAATATCTCTGCTGCGATTAATGAAGTAAAAAAATAAGTTATTAAAATTTGTTGTTATGTTATGAGTTTTATTAATGTCAAAATTTGCTGAACTTTCACCTAATGATAAACTGTAAAGTATTGTTAAAATAATAAAAGTTTTTTTCAGGTTTTATTTAGATTACCAGTACTGCTGTGAAGAACTTTTGAAATGTTTGTAATTAAGCACAAAGCTGCACAATGGGCTATCTGTGCTCTGCCCACCACGGGTATCGAAACCCGGATTCTAGCGTCGTAAGTCCGTAGACATACCGCTGTGCTACTGGGGGGCTTTGAAATGGAAAAAACTTATTGAAGTTTCAGTTAAATTAGATGTGTTATGTATTGTGGGAATAGAAAAGAGTAGACTGTCTCGTAAATTGATGCATTGTCATGGAATGTACTGTAAACAGAAAAGTGTGAACCTTTACTTGAATCAATGCACTGTTATGGAGTATAGTGGAAATAGGAGAAGATGAAATTTCACTTAAATAGATTTACTGTTATGGAGTATTTTGGAAATGAAGAGTGTAAACTTTCATTTAAATGATGCACCGTGATGGAGTATAGTGGAAATAGGAGAAGATGAAATTTCACTTAAATAGATTTAGTGTTATGGAGTATTTTGGAAATGAAGAGTGTAAACTTTCATTTAAATCGATGCATTATGACGGAGTTTAGTGGAAATAGGAGAAGATGAAATTTCACTTAAATAGATTTAATGTTATGAAGTATTTTGGAAATGTAAGAGTGTGCTAGACTCTCACTTCTAAAGCTCGGTGAGAAAAAGACATGTTAAAGTCTCGGTTGTTTTAACGATTTATTATATAATAAAATATTGAAAAAACTAGTTTTTCAAGTGGTTTCTCATAAAATATTGTTAAACTAAAAGATTTGATAAGGTTATCGGCTATGTCATTAGTTATTATTTAAACTGAAACGTTTATTAAGTTGTTACGTGGTGAGGTGTTGATGAATAAAAAGTACTTTGATTCCATCTTGCTCGTCCATTTCGTCATGAGACAATGTTCATCCGAAACGTTCGTTGGCTATCAACTAATTCAAGTGCACTGACACCAGGTGTGGAAATAGAATTACTTGTGTTATGAGCTAATTCACCTGTTGTAGCATGAAAGTGCAAAGTTAAAAAGAATTGAAATATAAAGCACAAACTTTTAATACGTATTGAAAATAGTCTGTCATTGTGTTCAGATATATTAAGTTTTGTATATATATATATATATATATTCAATAGATACTACAGTTATCCATTGAAAGTGATAAAATTAGTGTTAAACTTTTGATCACCGAGTTTTCAACTCCGCAAGTGTAACTGTTTGGCGGAAATGTAGAAGTTAAACAGAAATGCCAGCATCCGATCGGAGCCGCCTAATGACTCGGGAAATGAGTAGCATCACGAGACTTGCTTCTGTACATTGTATCGCCCAAAATTCGACATTTTCCACTGAACATTTACATTACATCACGGATCAATTTGAAAGTTTTCATGTATTGCTGACCACAGTGACATTGTGATATTTTCTAATCTATATATACTTATCTTGTCGCTATGGAAAATAGCACGTGACCTGTTAAGAACTAACATTTTCGAAGCTGGTATGGAAAAACAAAAGTAAACGTGACAAACAATCTGGAAGTTACAAAACACAAGTTTCAACAATAGTAGCTTGTATGTAAATACCTTAGCGTATATCTGACGCGTTAATTGTACACGGATATGTATTTGTTTGTTTCTTTGGAATTAAGCACAAAGCTACACAATGGGCTATCTGTGCGCTCCCCACCACGGATATCGACACCCGATTTCTAACGTTGTAAGTCCGAAGACATACCGCTGTGCCATTGGGGGGCACACAAATATGTATTTGTTTGTCCGATTTCTAGCGTTATAAGTCCGAAGACATAGCGCTGTGCCACTGGGGGGGGGGGACACGGATATGTATTTATTTGTCCGATTTCTAGTGTTGTAAGTCCGAAGACATACCGCTGTGCCACTGGGGGGAGGGTGCACGGATATGTTCGTCAGTGCGCATAAAATTGTTCTGAAGAGACGTAAAGTGAAATCTGGTAGAACTTGAAACCGTGATACTATGTATATAGTTGATGCTTTAGCCAACAAGATTGTGGCGTCTCTTCTATTCGCGGTTTTCACTTCGTTCCTTTTTAGTAATTTCACAGGACGATAT